GCTAAATAAAGCTGATAATCATCCGCATACAAGTGAAAAGATACTTTATGTTTTTGAAATATCCCACCAAGAGGAAGTAAATACAGCGAAAAGAGTAAAGTCCAACGTGTGTCCACGTTGTTGAGTGGCACCATTTACAGATTAGACAAAATTAAAAGAATTTACTAAGTCCAGGAAGTCCTTGACCAAGGGCAGCAAACATGTATATTAAAATCCCCAAGCAGGAGGATCTGGTCATAGTTGCACACGCAGTCAGCAAGGAATTCCAAAAACTCGGATAAGAACTCCTTATTACATTTTGGGGGGCGATAAACAATCACACACAACAGCAAAGGCAAATGGCCAAGTTCACATAAACAGAGTGAGTTAAGCGCTTTAATGAACTAGTACCAGCTGGCTGTACGTTTTTTAATGTTCAGAGAGTTTCTGGTTGTGGAGGAGGGCTCGCTAAGGTTTTTAAGACACGTTTGGACTTAAAACAGCTGTTCCCATCAACTCGCTACACAAGCTTTTTTGATATTTAATGGATCGGATTATATTTTTTATTTCTCTCCGATATCCGATCCAGTAATTTAGGTCAGTATCGGACTGATACAGATACGTAATATCGGATCGGTCCATCTCTAGTCAGAACTGCTGCAGATATCTTCACACTGACTCAACAAGTGGACTTCAGGTGGAAGGCAAAGAATTTGCGGACCTGATCTAAGGGCTCGCTGATGAGTGTGTGGATCAGCCTGTTCAAAGACACCTGGAGGTGTTCAAATGAGAGTAATTTCTCTTTGAGAGAAATTGATGAACTGATTAGAACAAAGCAACAAGATATGTGGTATGACTATTTTAAAGAGATTAGCAAAATTGACTTTTGATGCTTGTAAGAAGACAAAACCTTTGCTCCATTATGGTGGTAAGTTTGTACAAAGATTTTTCTCAGTTTCTCCAAATGGAGCACCACTGGCATCACTGAGAAGATTCATCATATTGCATTTGAACAGTCATTTGTACATTTATGTTGAAAAAGCAGAAGAATTTTAATCTAATCTGGAAGACAAGATGTATATTGTTCAAGAAATATGAACCTACAGAGGGCTGAATTTAAAGACAGCCTAAAAATCTAAATGAAAATGATCAAGCAGGCTAGCAAGTATTTAAATGCAGTATATTTAGATATTCATCATAAGATAATTGGGCACTAAAGCTGTAGCTTCACTGAATCTACTTGTGGACTCTGTAAACAGTGTTGATTTGCTGGTGAAAATGTTGATTGTCAGTTCAGAGATTTATACTAAATGCCCAGAACACCAAGAAGTTCTTAATTTATTTTTTAAAAATTAGCCTTTAGTAAAACAGGTACACATCGGGAGTTTGAATTTTACCAGATCTGAAGACGGTGTAACTGCAAAAATAATAGCTCGCATATTTCTAGCTATGATCAGCACCATGCACAAGAACCACAGTCATATTGGAAGAATGGATGCATTTATCTAAAGTGACATAAAGACAGCTGTGATGTCTGAAATAAAAGAAGCAACCAGTCATTTATAGATTAACTGACTGGATGGGGTTATTGCACCAAACAGCGACAGTTATTCAGAATTCTTCATTCAACAATCACTTCCAAAGGACCAGCTTCTACATATATTACACACATATATTGCAGCATGTGTGCATAATCACAAGTGGTCATAAAACATGAACGATCCACCCTTCAGAACGTCACCTTTCAGACATTGTGCTTAGCAAACTGATTGACAGCGTTGCTCAAATCCAAACTGTTGGGGGTAAAGTCATCCTTTTTTCCTCCCTCCTCTCCTTAGCATCGCTTCATTTCCTGCTGATCATAAAATGCTACTGTGCTGACTAACTATTCTATGAGAAGCTTGCCAAAAAACAGACTTTTTTGGTGCTGGGTATTTAAAAAAAATAAAGGTCCATTAAAGGCAGTGAAACACTACAGGCCTCAGCAAAGATCACACAGTAAACCAAGAGCTGTAGCTCACAAGTTTCAGCCAGTGAGCGAAGCAACAGAAACAGCAGAAGTGAGGCAGGAAAGTGCAGTGTAACCACCTCATGAACCAGCAAAAGGGTTAGTGTCTTCAGTTTCATCATCATCTCTGTAAATACAGAAGGAACCTGCAACAGAAGATGGAGGATACAGAGTGAGAGGTACATATGGACAACAAGGAACCGGTACCAGAGCCAAGATACAGAGGAAGTACCTCGATACAGAGATCAAGCACAGCATGTTTACATATATACAAATGTGCTTGTGCAAGATGGGTGAAGGTAGGGTGCATTTAACAAAAGGTGAGCTGTTTATTGAGGCTTGTGTCAAAAGTATGAAACCAAGGAAAATTACAAAATAAAAAGAGAAACTACCAAAACTAGACAACATTGGCACAAGAGGACACAGGTGAAGTACATGAACAGACACTGACAAACGACAGAGAGAAACATAGACAATATATACATAGAGGGGTAATTAGAAAAATAGGAAACACCGGGGAACACAGCTGAAACTCATCAGGGAAACAAGTCTGTGGAAAGTGAAAATGAACACTGAGCGCACAGTACAAAGATTACCAAAATAAATCAGAAAGCAGGAGGACATTAGACTAAAACACACTAACTTGACACAGAAAATAAAAACAAACACAATTGGCTGTTTGTTAGAGACACACAGGACAAAACAAAGGAAGGTTAAAGGAAACAGGATGGAAAATAACTCAATGGAAAAATGACATAAACACATGAATAGTGTTAAATATCAATGTGCCACCATAGTCCCGTCCCACAGGGCTCACCCTCGCGTCCGCGAGCGATTGGGGCAACCGCACCCTAGGTT